ACAACATCAACCGAGAGCTCCACGGTAATCGACACTCTCTCACTACATCCAGCTTTTCCGTGCTCTGGTATAACCTATAGGCGAATCCAGTTGCGGAATACTCGAATCCAGCTCCAAGATATCCTACGTATCCTTTTCTCTATATTTATGTGTTCATGCGTTGACCTTGTAACTATTCCTCATTCTTTCTATCGCGTGACTGTTTGTTCTTTGTTCCTGTTCACTCAACCGTGCTCTTCCTTTCTACTATACAAGCCGATGTAAACGAAGGAAGAGCACGACTAGAGATGTGCAGACAGGACTCGCGAAAGTGAGGGGATTTACTGCTGTCTTTCTTTTGAAGAGCTTCATTGTCGAGCAGTAGTCACTAGCGTAGCCGCCTTCGGCGACAAAATTGCTAAAAATTATTCTAACATTTTCCCCTTTTGAACAACATAAGGAAAAGAAGAGTTTTCATGAGTCTGAAAAAAATACCAATTGTATAACCAGTTATCTTAGAAAAACTTCCTACTTTAGTCAATGTTTTCTTCAAAACAGCTTCATTTAGAACGATTTTCATCAGAGTGGTCACCTTCGACGACATAACTATTGAGAAACTTTTTCGAATTGGGCACAACTTCTCTTGAAAATTTACTAGAGAAAGTCGAATTTTTTTAAGGAAGTCTCAAAAACTTATCGCTTCGCGAAAAATTATTACATTTTGATTGCAAGAGAAAAATTATCAGATCTGATGCAAAAGGATCTTGCATCTTTCAATCTTGGCTCCTCGAAACCTCCTCATCCCTCCCCCTCCCCCCCTTTCCAATCCTAAGACCCTCGTGCAGGGTCTGTGTGCAGATGACACAATACACCATCATGCCAACGGACATAGGCGCACACTCTCAGTTCGTCACATACATGAATGAAATCTACACAAAATTTTCTGTCTCTTCATATCATCAAGACAGATTTCGATGTGATCTATTCCAAAAAAAAACGGGCAATTAAATCTGCAATATTTGTCATCGCATATAATATCGAATGATAGGTATAGCTTTTATTATTTTCGATGCTTGCATGAATATTTGTTTTTTGAAATAAGGAAAAAGAAGTTTTCATGTCTTTTATTTTTTGGCATCTCGGCCATTGAAAAAAATAATCATCGGAAGTCAAATGATGTCATATAATGATAAAAAAGTAATCGTTACTTTGATTATTACTAATAATTCTCATTTAGCTTTATTTCCAAAAATGTTTCAACATATGTCATTTTAAAAACAAAAGTGTTACATAAGCAAAAAGAATAATTGATAACTATTGCAAAAATTTTTCTGTCATCTTTTGTGATAAACACGCAATTGAGATAAAAATGATCAAAAGAAAAGAAAACACACAATGTATACGATGACCTATGAAGGTGATGAATAACAATATAATATCATCTTCTTCCGATGACTATTGACAGGAAGAACAATAACGCTTTGTGCTATTGTTCATCATACCATTATATAAGAATGATCCACAATATCCAAAATATGTTAGCATTAAGACAAACTATGGGAATAACATTAGAGCATCTCTCAGTCGAGTTGTTCTACGAAATATTTATTTATTTTAAGTTTCATGAAGTATTCAATATATTTTCTAATCTTAATTCAGGATTTGCTGCTATCATTAATAACATGCCACTTACGTCCGTTTATTTGGGTTTGAACGGAATGAGTATATCAATGACCGATTTTTATTATAGACATTTATCACAATCAAATATCTGCCATCGTCTTATTTCATTATGTGTCTCCGATACATTATCTATTAATAACGGTTTATGGTTATCATCACATCTATCTACATTTATCAATCTTCGTTATTTATCTTTAATTGACATTAAACGTTCTTCTTTTGAATTGATTCTCAATTCAGTGTCACCCATGAACTCTCTCATCATATTTAGTGTACGCTTTGCAACTTTTTATCGTGCTGCTTATACGTTTATCGGTGTGCCTGAAGGTGCTTATTATGAACGAATTTTTCACTTATTCCCAT